CACCAAACTAAGGGAAAGGCGTGGAACATATTCTCCCGTGGAGCCCTCAGAGAAAGCATGGCCCTGCCAATACCTTAATTTTGGACTTCTGGTCTCCAAAACTGTGAGAAATTTCTTCTGTTTTAAGCCATTCCATTTGCAGTACCTTATTAAGAACAGCCCTGGGAAACTCATGCTCTTATTTTACAGAGTTTTTGCAAAGACTGCATTTGTTAATAATACATCTAAAGTCAACAGATCATTTCCTGCATATTATTAAATATAGTTATTATTGTTTCATTTCATAAGCATTAGCCTTATTATCATTGATTTTAAAAATAAACATTTCAGCCTCCCAGCACTGTTTTTAAGCACTTCGTGTATTCTATCACCCAGGATGTTGCTCACGATGCCTGAGCTGACATGATCCTCCCAGCTAGGCCTCTGGCGAGGCTGGGACTGTAGGTATGCACCACCATACCCAGCTATATTTTTTAATTTTTTATATTTACAGAGACAGAGTCTTACTATGTTTCCCAGGCTAGTCTTGAACTCCTGAACTTAAGCAATCCTCCTGCCTCAGTCTCTCAAGTGCTGGGATTACAGGTGTGAGTCACCATGCCTGGCCTTGAGACTGCCTCCTGTGCTTCGTCAGAATTCCCTTCTGTGTGCAGCCTACTGCGTGATGGGGCCCAGTGGACACATTTTTGTTTTGATGAGGTGACTCCTCAGCATTCTGGTCAGAATCCTTGATAGTCCTGGGTGTTAGACCAAGCAGCAGCTCTCAAAGTAGAGTCTAAGGACCCCTGAAAGTTGCCAAAATGGTTTTAGGGATTCCACAAGGTCCCTGTCTTTGCCAATGTAAGTATCTGTGTGCCTGAGTGTTTCATATATTTCAACCAAACCAGTATATCTCAACAGATAGAATGCAGAAGCAGCTGTTTGATTCCAGATATCTTCCATGAAGCTAGAGGTTGAAGAGGTTTACAAAATATAGAACAATGCCACTCTTCTCAGTATATTTTCTTAGTTTGGGAAAATAATGGTGTTTTTAGTAAAAATATTTATATTAAGATATGAATTTATTATTTTTAAATATACTGATAAATCTTTTAAATTTTTTGCTTTTATTTCTAATATTATAGCTATAGAGAGCTACATCACACATAAATATGAGCCCTTGAGGGTACTCAATAATTTTTAAAAGTGTAAAGGGGTTTTGAGACCAAAACGCTTAAGAAATGCTAAAATAACATTATGCAGCCATCAAAAACGATGAGTTTGGGTCCTTTGTAGGGACATGAATGAACCTGGAAACCATCATTCTCAGCAAACTGACAGAAGAGCAGAAGATCAAACACCGCATGTTCTCACTCATAGGTGGGTGTTGAACAATGAGAACACATGGACACAGGGAGGGGAGCACTACACACTGGGGTCAGTTGGGGGGAAATAGGGGAGGGACGGTGGGGGGTGGGGAGCTGGGGAGAGATAGCAAGGGGAGAAATGCCAGATGTAGGTGATGGGGAGGAAGGCAGCAAATCACACTGCCACGTGTGTACCTATGCAACAATTTTGCATGTTCTTCACATGTACCCCAAAACCTAAAATGCAATAAAATAAATAAATGGGAAAAAAATGCTAAAATAGTGGCTTTAAAATTTGAGATTTTATTTATTTTTAATTGCTCAGTCAGCTGGTCTTCACTCACTATATGGCTTCCACACAAAATTGATGGTATCATCTCTCTGCAGGGTTGATTTGAGCAATCAGATTCCAGAAAATTGTTTTATGCTTTTTTTAACACTGGCTGGAGTGAGGGTATGTATAATTAAGAGTGTGTTTATTTGTGTGTATATTTGTGTACACCAAGTCTACCACTTAATAAACACATTCAATTGAAACTTGAGGGATGAGCAAGGGTAAAAATAGAAGATGAATTCAATAGGGATGAACATAAGTTGGGACATTTAGTTACAGAGTCACAAAGACAAATAGCTAAGAGAAATGATATTGACTAGAGAGCCAATGCTCCTTTCATGCAAGCAAGTAACAGAGAAATTTATTTTGGGATTCTCTCACTTCTTTCCCTAATTTGTTGTTATTTGGGGAGGCCATCCAAATTGTCTTTAACTTTAGGTATAATCCCAGACACCAATCAAAACTCTCCAAGTGAGCATGGCAAAGCTTGAGCCATGGCAAGATTTTCTTTCTTGCTTAAAATGACAGGTAAGAATCCAGAAAAACCACATGTGGTATCTGAACCCAATTTTCCTCAGCAAGAAAGCAGCCTCCATAATTCTAAAAGGACTCCATGATACCTCACGCTAAAGTGTTTATGTCTTGCACCCATCTCTGAGTCTTTAGAGGTTGCCATCTCTGAGAAACTCAATAAGGGAGCCCACCTGGACCCAGCCAGGCCACTGAGGAGGCAGCTTCTGAATGCTGGACAAATTCTGACCACTGTGTTCCCACAGCTTCATTTCCCAATGGCCCAAGAATCCCTTGGAGAAACAAGGACAAGACCCAAGCATATGTTGTTTTGAGAAGAAAGTTACTTTGTGCAGATTCCTAACCCCTTTTTATGAAAAAAAAAAAAAATGGAATTTGTACTTGTTTACCCATCTGTGTTCTTGCCAGAGAAGTGAAGTCACACCAGCTCTGTGGAAGGCATTAATCCCCTGTCTAAATTCTTGCAGATATGTTTTCAAACTGACCTGAAAAATGAACCATGATTCCCCCTGTGGATTGCTGCAGTGACCTGAGACCTCTACTCAGGGAGCTAGATACTGAAGGACAGGGTAAGCGAGCAGCCATCTTCATGCACAACTGTAAAACTCTTATTTCCCAAACAAGAGTTTTTCTTTGGCTTCCCTATACCTCAAATTACCTTCTGTTTGGCAAGAGGTGCCCTTCCCCTAATTTAATGGTCTGGGTAATGATGTAGGTTATGGCAATAAGAACAATGACAACAATGATGATGTTGACAAAGATATAATGGGTTTGTGGAACCATGGAATATTGTATTTTGTATGTTTTTTTTTTCTAATGACTTTACTGTCCTATAACAATACTTCAGGAAGATCACATAATTATATGGTTACTTTCAGTTTCTATAAGCTTATTTCTAGGGCTGTTGAGTGTAATCAGCTTAATCAGACATCTAATCCACTTCCCCTGACACCCCTATCTTTATGAACTACTCTCTTGATGCCCGCTGCTTTTTCTCCACTCAGAAGAGAGGTAAATATCCCTCCCCTATCCCACAGAGAAAAACCAAGGCTCACCCTACTAAGCTAAAGATCTGCCTAAAGTCTAAACGTTCTTTTGCCCATATCCTAGTTTTTTGATTATGTCTGAGTCTTATTTATTCCCTGCTGGATCCTAGGCACCTAATACAGTACCTGTCACAGAATAGATGCTCAATAGATATTTATTGAATCAGTGATGGATTGAATGTCCTTGACCAGGGAAGGGAATCTTGGGGAGTACAGGAGGTTAGCAAAACCAGTCTGGCTGCCCACATATAACAAGCCCTAGAAGGAGATATCAGGCCTCCAATTCTTTTCAGCTTCATTTGGATTATGAGGCTAACATCCCCTTCTGTTTTATTTCATACCTTTTTACCAATTCTGGGGCTTCCGGAATATTAGGCTGGACATTCTGTTGCAATAACATACTAAAAACAACTCCTACTATTTGTTCAGCACATGCTGTGCCCCAGGCACTGTGCAGGCGTTACCTTACTTTCTTACCAGCACCCTGTGAGGGATCATAGTCTCCAGTTTCACATGAAGCAACTAAATTAGAGAGAGTTTAGGAAAAGCGTTCAAGAAACAAACAGGAAGCAGCAGAGTTGAAAAGTTTAAAATAATCATGTCTCAACTTTTTGTGCATCACTAGTTTTCAAAGTGGTTATATGTGGAAATAAAAAAAGACTATATAAGTTAATGAATACCTTGAAATACGTATTTTTATTCACCCTTTTTATTTTGTTACTGTTCTCTATACAGCTGTGCTGTCTTGCTTGTCTTAAGTAAAACAACACCAAGTAAATTCACAAATATATATAAACTTCAATACCTTTGAGACACAATTGCTACATTCATATTCTGCCTCTCTGTCTCTCTGTCTCTGTCTCTTGTCTCCCTCCCTCTCCCTTTCCATCTCTTTCTCTTTTAGTTGAGAAGAATTAGTTTAAACTCAATTTATGGCTTATATATTAAATTTAAGCATTGTTTTACAAAATACAACACCTATGAACTTACCACCTAATAAGGCAAGAACTGTAATATCACCTATAACTAGTATTTACTTATGTGTTTTCCTTCCCTAACCCAACATCCTATCAAATTTTAGTCCTCCACATAGCTCCTCCATCCCCTTCCTTGCAGTAATCATTCCTTTGCCTTTGTTTCTTAATTGTGGCTGCATTATCCAGCAGTGCAATGAGACAGAATAGACCTTTCTACCTTCATCTTGTTAGTCTTTGAAACAATGAATTTATTGCCTAGTAAATAACTGTGATGGTTAATATTGAGTGTCAACTTGGTTGGATTGAAGGAAGCCAAGTATTGTTCCCGGGTGTGTTTGTGAGGGTGTTGTCAAAGGGGATTCACATTTGGGTCAGTGGAGTGGGAGAGACAGACCCACCCTCAATCTGGGTGGGCACCATCTAATCAGCTGCCAGTGCAGCCAGAATAAAAGCAGGCAGAAGAACATGGAAATACTAGACTGGTTTAGTCTTCTGGCCTCCATCTTTCTCTCATGTTGGATGCTTCCTGCTCTAGAACATCAGACTTCAAGTTCTTCAGCTTTGGAACTCGGACTGGCTTCCTTGCTCCTCAGCTTGCAGTCCCCTATTGTGGGACCTCACCTTGTGATCATGAGTCAATACTCCTTAATTAACTCCCTTTTATATATACATCTATCCTATTAATTCCGTCCTCTAGAGAAGCCTAAAACAATAAAATTTCCAGCTTTTTTCCCTGAAACTATACTGTTCTTTTTTCTTTTTTAGTATTTGGGGCAGTTTTTATTCCTTAGCATTTTCTTTGGTGATGCCATTACTTAGGAAGAAGTGCTATGAGATACAGCTCATTATTGGGTGTCACAGGACCTCTGTTTAGCCCTTCAGATGACTAAAATCTAAAACTAAACAGAAATTGCTGTTAATGTAGATGTTCTTCAAATGTATTTCATCCTAGGTGTTCTAACACTAGTGATATTATCATAGACACGTTTTAAAATCCAGATAGTTATTTGTACTTTTGCACACCAGGTTTTGCTTTTGTTGCACGTATTCAAACTAGCACCTCCACAAAGTGTTGTCATCCTACAGCCTCAAGGCTTCTCACTGTCAATGTATGGAATGTCATGGTACTTGATGTTATTGCATGCCCATTGCTGCAAGGCATCACACAAGATATTCTGGGACAGGTGGTGTGCATATTCCAAGATCACAATATTGGTCCCTGGGGGTTCCTTCACTTCCTCTTTGACATTAACTGGAGAAGGCATCCTAGGTAGACATTTCTCTTCTGGCATAAAGGGCTCTTCACTCTCATGCTGCTTCTCACTTTCATATAAGTTAGGAAATGGGAAAATTTGCTTTGATTTCATGCAGCCCATGTTACGAAGAGCTGTTTGTGGAGGAAGCAGTGGCAAAGTCTACTTCCAGTCCATCTTTAGAAAACAATGAGGTTTGTCCATGTGACGACCAGTGCTTTCCCTCTCCAGACCACTTCAGTAATCAGTGCTCCCTTTCACCACTCTTCACCTGTAGTGTTTACCTGGCGCTGAGTGATTTAGAAAGCCAAGTGAAATACAGTGGTAGAGGAAGCAGCAGAAAGGCCCTGGGAGCTTGCTGCATTCCCTAGCAGGTCATTCCTGCTGGCACCACAGGGATCCATCGGGAAGGTGACCAGAGGAGCAGGGGGTAAAACTCCACAGGGAGAAGGGAAACTATACTGTTCTTTAGGATTTAAAAATCACCAGACTTTTAAAACTCCAGCTAATCTTTCATAAAGAAAAAAAAAATCATGATGACCTAGGTTTGAAATCTTAAAGTCACCTCTGATTTCACCCCTTTCCTCACCTCCAAATTTTATTTTGACTCTATTGGTTTGTATTTAGAACATATGTTTATAATCCTGACTTGAAGCAACCTAACATGGGTCGATTATCTAATTCTACCTGATTTCAAACTATTTTTCTAAGGGATGTTAAGTTCCCAATTTCCTAGATAAACCCAAGGCTGCCAAGACACAGACTCTGGGGAGAAAAACATGAAGCTGCTTGGCTTCCAGGAGCTATAACGTTTGAACCGTAGGCTCCCTGTATGTGGCCATAAGAATAGTTTGAGCTCTGATATACCCAGGGAAGCTGGTGTAACCACATCACCACACTTAGTAATCAGGCCACTCATGACTATACAAAAAGGCAACTATTTAGAGAACCAGTTTTGTTCTCCCCACAGTGTCACACCAGTTAACAGTTTGATAGACTAAGAGTGGTTGTTTCATAGCCTACCCAAATAATAAGCATCCTACTAATATTAATCCTTTTCATTATACACGAGTAATGTTTTCAGAATTATAATTCCAACTATAGGAAAACAACCAGGATTTGAGTAACCTCTAACAATGAAGCATTATATAAAATTTAACTGAATTCTTCCCAGGCTGTGGAGTGTTGGGCTAGACAGAGCACTCTCAAAGGCTAACACATTTTTATGAGCATGTGTCTGTCTTAGGCCAGTTTCCCTAAGCCAAGTCTGAGAGATTTGTTCAGCTGCAAATGATTAACTGAGGAAGTGTTCTTAAGAGAAAAACACTAACAGAGTCAAAGAACCAAATTAGCGAAAGGAACAGATTTGAGCAAGGGTCTCAGGCAATGTCAAGCATTGGCCTGACTGCCCGCACCCTCAGGCAGGGGTGGGCTGTAAACAAGACCATATATTGCATCTCTAAGGAAAGGGAACTGGGCTTTTATACCCACAAAGAGTTTGTCATTGGTCAATTCTCAGGGCTTGAAATAGGGGGTATTAACTTCTCAAGCATCTCAAAGTGAGGTGGCTCACTCAGCCAAGGACAATTTCCCAGAGAAAGTCACAGGTAAAGCTATCAGATGCAGCACTTGCAACAGCTGCAGATGGCTGCACCCAGAGGAAAATGAAGCCTGGAGGAGGGGCCAACAGTGTCTACCACCACATCTAATACTCATAAACTTAAACTCTTACATCTTGAGTCCCAATACCCCAGAAGCTCACTGCATTTTCCCTAAAAATCCATCATTCTCTCAAAAAAGGTGAAGAAACAAAAAACAATGAATTCTTGACATTGTACAGGGACATAGTACATTGAGACACACAGTAAGTGAGTATAAACTCAACTTTCTGAACTGTAATGGATATCATGTACCTACTAATAGGATTTGACTAGAAAGGGACTTTACATCTGTGGTCTTCTTTCCAAAAACCCGTAACCCCAGTCTACTCATGAAAAAAACATCAGACTAATCTTGACCGGAGTCATTACACAGGATACCTGGCTAACACTCTTTAAGACTGCAAAGGTAAAGAAAAACAAGGGAAGCCTCAGAGAAACTGTCACAGACTAGTGGAGACTGGGGAGACACATGACAACTAAATGCAGTGTGGTACCCTGAATTGAACCCAGAACAAAAAAAAAGGGGAGTTAATGGAAAAATTAGTAAAATCCAAAGAAAGTTAGCAGTTCAGTTAACAGTAATATGTAATGCTGATATCTTAATTTTGATAGATATATAATGGTAACTTAAAATGTTAACCATAGTGAAACTGGGTAGATGAGTAGATGGCAATTCTTCATCCTATCTTTGGAACTTTTCTATGAATCTAAAATTATTCCAAAATGAAAAGTTTAAAAAAAATCTAATTAAAACCAGCAATAACAAAAGGCAACAGAGAAGTTACCCCACTCTTGTCCTCTTATTACATCAGCTCAGTATTATTTTAATCAAGAAGCATAAGATTTACACCATGTTTGAAGGGTACTTTGAGTCACCTTTATTGCCCTTACTTTGACCTCTGACTCAGCTGAGAGAAAAAAGAAAAGAAAAAGAAGGAAGGAAGGGAGAAAGGGGAAAGAAGATGTTGACCCCAAGAGAATTATGCAAATTGGCTGAGGCAGCTAGTTGTTGAGATGACAGCAAGAGCTAACTGCGGCCCCAGAGTTTTGGAAAGCTCCCCTAATGATGCCCCAATCCTGCGAACTCTATCTCAATGTTCACACCTCCCTATTCAGGTCTTTATCATATCTCATCTGAACCACCCTCATAGATTCCTGAGTTTCTCTTTCCACCTCTGTCCTGGAGGCACTCACAACCTCTACCATTACACCCACTATACCTGACCTGACCTACCTTTCACTAGGGATCCTCTTACTCTTGTCAACTGAGTAATTCTGCACACAGCCCAAGATTTCTCAAACTACCGGGTACATTCTCCTCCTGGAATGCTCTCCCCATACATTTACTATTAAGTTCTGACTTGTTTAAAAGCCACTTACAGTTTCATAAAATGTCCCCTGATCTTCAGAGATAGAAGGGATTTATCCCTCCTTTAATCTTTTTTAGTGATTCTAATTTTCTTGGTATTTGCCCTATCTCCCTTACTAGATTGTATACTATTTGAAGACAAGACCATACCTCATCATCTTCCTATTCCTTACAACTTTTCTGTGGAACTAGGTCTTGCATTCATTCAGGCGTCAGAAAGCTTTATTGACTTGATATATCCCCCCAAAATTCAATTTAGTTCAGCCAATGTTTTTGAATGCCTAATCTATGTAGATTACTTAGAATTGTTCTATTTCTAGATTAGCTTGACTTTCAATAATTTTTTTCTTAGTCAATATAGTAACTAACACTTTTATACACTTTCTCTTGTGCCAGGCCATGTGCTATATACTTTATATAAACTATCTTATTTAATCTACACAAAACTCTATAGTATAGATTCTCTTATTACATCCATTTATGAAGTGACTAAAAATAATGGAGATTAAAGCATTTAGCCAAAGTCACTCAAATTTGTGTTTAATTATCACTATTATGATTTACTGTCAAGTTCTCAATGCCGATGACTGCAATGTCCTTAGCAGATCTAAGCCTCAATGACTGTATACTGGCTGAAATGCTAGTTTACTTGTAGAATGTTAATAGCTAAATTAATAGATCGGGTTTTATAGGAGACAGACATTAAATTCTGCTTGTAGTGAATGATTACAAAAATCCTTTCACTGGCATTATTTAAAAACAGAGCCAATTTCTCTGCTCCTGGGAATATGAGTTGACATAACCTTCCCAGAAAGCAATTTGTCAAGACATAGGACAACACTATTTTTAAAGTGCATTAACTTTGATCCAGCATTTCTACTTCTCAAAGTTTACCTTAAAGAACCAATTAAAGATATACGCAAAGATTTCGCCACAAGGTTTTTACATTGTTTATGACAACCAAAACTTGTAAACATCTAAATGTCCAACAACAAGAAGAGACACAGTAACTAAGTTATGCTCCATCCATGCAAAGAAACACCAGGTAGGCAGTACAGGTATTGATCAACTTACAACCTATGCAACTTACGACCATTTGACTTTACTACCACAATTGCTAGCCACGGCTGCTCTGCGTCTGGCAGCGCAAACATTGCCCAGCTGGACGTACGACAGTGCGGACCAGTTTCCGGCAGCACTACCGTCTCCGCGTGCACCATTTCACCTGTACATATAGCCTACTCAACTTACTACCAAATCGTGTTACGACCGGTCTGCCGGTCCCAATCGGGGTCGTAAGTCGAGCACTAGCTGTAAATGTTATTGACTAACATGCACTTGCATAAAGACATGACATTTTAAGTAAATTTTTTAAAGCAATTTACAAGTGTGTATAATATAATATCATTTTGTTAATGATGGAGGGTTTCCAGGTTCTTGGTGTCTTAAACAAAGGATTGGACAAAATGCACAAACAAAGCAAGGAAGGGCTGGAGGGATTGACTGAAAATGAAAGTATACTCCACAGTGTGGGAGCAGCCCAAGCATAAGAGCTCGAGGGCCCTGTTACAGAATTCTGGGGAGTTTAAATATCCCTAGAGAATTCTATTGGTTACTTTGGGTCTGCCCTTTGTAAATGGAAAGGATGAAGTAAAGTTACAAAGTCATTTATGGCGTACATACTATGGAGAAGATATTTCCTATCACAGCCGAAGTGTGAATCAGCCTTATGTTCCCTGCCTCCAGGCCCTATTTTCCTCCCTCATCTCCTGCCTGAGAGATGTAATTCCATAAATCTGTATGGGAGGCAGAGGGACTGATGGTTTTCTCTTATAACTGCTTCATGCTGGCTTGGGGTGTAGTCCCAACCTACTGGGGATCATGGAACTCTTGCACTATTGTGTATAGTAGAGTCAGGGTAGCTTCTTGATGGCCAGGGGTGGTGTCTTCACCTGAAACTGGCTGGAACCTTTGGTGCATGACCACCTGAAGCTTGATAGTCTCTAGGCAAGAGGATACAATATTTTTGTTTTTTAGACGGAGTCTTGCCCTGTCGCCCAGGCTGGAGTGCAGTGGCGCAATCTTGGCTCACTGCAACCTCTGCCTCCCAGGTTCAAGCAGTTCTCTGCCTCTGCCTCCCAAATAGCTGGGATTACAGGTGCCCATCACCGTGCCCAGCTAACTTTTTTGTATTTTTT